GTGTTTGAAGGATGTCCTAATGTTGTTACAATAGCAATTAAATTGTGCAATCATTCTTGTTCTTTGCTAGTTGCCATGAGGCAAAGATGGCCACAGTGCTGCCTGTGGGCCAAATGAGGCCCATAGAGTTCTGCAGTGGGCCTACAGTTACCTTTGTCTTTAATATGGAAGTATGGTCCCTGGAGACTACACATCCCAGTATTCAATGCTGCATCTAGATTTGAACAATATTGAATGCTGGGGTCTTCAGTCTCAGTTCACATATGCATATTACACATGAGGATGACTCCAATGAGTTTCATTTTATGTGAATCATGTATGGCCCTTAGGCTTATGGCAAGCTGTCAATGCTGCTTTCAGTTATCCTTCCCCGGCCATGGAGTAATTTGCTCTTTGAATTATTAATAATCAAACCCAGCTAGGAAATTCCTGTACCTTCTGCAAAAATAGTCAACTGTTGCAAAGGGGGTGGGAGGGATCACTTAATAAATAGAGGTAAAATTAAGCAAAAATGGTGAGAACTATACTTTTTCAAAAATATTTATTTCTGAATAAGTATTCCCTCTCCTAATTATATCATCATTAGCCAAACAAATAATATTCTTTAAGCCAATTATCTGCAAGTGATCATGGGACAGTACTTATACTGAAAGAATACATGTATTTTAGGAAAGGAATGTAGAACAGAGGATTGTGAGCCAGGACTTCTGGGTCTGGTTTGAGTTGTTCTGTGACCTTGCCTTTCTGGCATAGAAGCTAATCAGAGGAAGCATTTGCCTAAATGTGGTAACTGATGTTTAGGTCAAGAATTAATAAGTGTAAGGGAAGAAGAGCTGGAGTTGCATCCTCACAAGCCTGGTGGTCACAGAGACCTCTGATTTGGGGGAAGTAGTAGAATTTCAGATTCCCTGAGCAAGACTATTTAGTTTTGTAAGCATTGGGGTTGGAATGCACAAAGAGATGGGCTTCACTTTTAGAGCAGTAATTTGTGGAGATGGAGTGGCCTAAAGTTTCACACACACCCTCTCTCTCCAAACAAACTCTGTGTAAAATGGGTCAAGTTTGGAGTATATTGCAAAGAATAATTTTGCTAAACCTCCCCAAAATCCTTAACTAACACTGTACAGTTTGTTATGCGAATGGTGGACAGAAACTGGTTCTCGAAGAGAGTGGGCAAATTTAAAAAAATGTTTTTCAGGGCTGCCCAAAACTGTTAAGGCCACCTCTCATGGAAAGCATAGTATAGGGTCTCTTTTGGTTGATTCAGGAATATTGGCCAAATGGCCCAAAGGATTCTTTCCCTGTCCAGTAGTACCTGTCTGATGAGTTACTGTGATTTACACTTAATTTCTTTGATATTTTTACCTCTGGCTCCTTTAGTTGATTTGTGAATTTTACTTGGTACTCTTTCATGTCCTTTCCTTTTTTTTTTTTTCATAGGAATGTGAGCTTCCTGCCTCAAAATTTTGAAATGGAAAAGGAAAACTTATGATGTAGGTGGGATCCATTTCTAGAAGTATCCTTGTTAGAATTGGAAACATGCCTTACTTGCCTGCTGAATTATTTTGTGAATATATCAATCTACATTTCCTGGGATTTTCTCTAGGAAACAGATGTACCTTTTTGCACACACCCCTTTGAAGAAGGTAGGCCTATATGCTATAGGAAAATTAATTATGTGAAAGAGTGTGAGAGATTATTTGGATAAAAGTAGGAAGTTTAAACATTTTACTTTCTATATCTTGAATGAACTTTGCCTTAAGGTATATGGCCTGAATCAAACTTCACTGAAGCCAATGGACAGTCTCCCATTGGAGTCCATGGGTGTTGGGACAGTAAGTCTATATAAGAGGCAGGCCGGCCATTTGTTCAGTTTAAGCCAGACAATCCTCTTTTTCAGTGGTTTCCCCCCACATCCAGTACTGAGACAAAATCAGATGTGGTTTTGTACGATATTCAATGAGGGACACCATTTTGAAGAGCACATTGCTCCCATCATGCTGGTAGGACCTCATACTAGGCATACACGCCAGAGGGTGTGAGCCCACTCCATCCCTGGAAGTACTGGAATGTCCGGTATTCTCAGAATGCATGAGTGGCCACCCTAACAAGAGGGAAGTCAAACCCAGAAAGAGTACAGCAAATCAAAGAGCAAATGTTGTGGAAATGCCTGATATGAAATCATTGGAATGGGAAATAAATATGGTCAATATTAACCAAAGACTTAGTTGTGGAGTGACTGAAAGTAGGCTGCCTGAGTATGCTAAAGAGACTGTACATGACATAAGTTGTCAATTCATTTGTCAACATTTTTTCGATCCAATGGACTGTGATATGCAGTGTTCTTGTTGCTCTGTTGGTCCCAGGATATTAGAGAGACAAGTGTGGGTGAGATAATATCTGACATTACAAGATATTACCTCACCCACCTTGTTTCTCCAATGAACTGTGAAGCATTTCTTAAGCCTGCCAATGAGCTTATCTATATCTAATTTGCCTACTGACTCTGAGTTTGCTGGTCTTGTGTTAATTTGCTGCAATGTTTCTGAGGGCAGGTCTACACTACAGCCAGGATCGACTCTCTGAGATCGATCCACCATTGGTCGATTTAGCAGGTCTAGTAAAGACCCGCCAGATTGACTGCAGATCGCTCTCCAGTCGACCCCGACGAGAAGAGTAAGGTAAGTCGACGGTAGATTTTCTCCCGTCGACCCCCCGTGGTGTAGACCCCACGGTAACTCGACCTAAGGTACGTTGACTCCAGCTATGTTATTCACGTAGCTGGAGTTGTGTAGCGTAGGTCGACTTACCATGGTAGTGTAGACATAGTCTGATATCTGAGCTATGATGATTTTTGTTAGTTTTTGCAAGGCAACACATGTTTTTGCCTTTAAATTATTTAGAAATTAAAGCTGTATCGAAAGAGACTTTCTCATCTTTCTGCTGCCTCAGACCAAGAGTGCAGCTAACACACTGGTCAATACATTGTTCCCCTTCATAGAGATGCATAGCATCATTTTCATAAAGTGGTGGCAGCCACTGGGACTCCAAATCACATTGAGTTTTTCTGTATTGCTTAATTGTCTCATTATACATTTGCAAGTCCCCAGTGACTCTGATATCATTTTGTAACAGCTAAGGCATTCTTGTTTTCAGTTTTCTTATGATAAAAATGTCAGTGGGTGACAACCCATGCTTCATTGGTGCCATTCTGTAATTTAACAGTACTAAATACGGATCAGATTCTGCATCCTTTTACAGTAGATAATTCATTATTTTGACATAATTTCCAACCAACCCAGTGGATTGGGGATAATGGAGACTAGTCTTGCATGCCTAAAGTCATAGTTCACTGGAAACTGATAAACTCATGCCTATTAAACTGTGACCCATTGTCAGACATTACTATGTCAGGTATATACCATATCTGGTAAAATTAGATTTGATATGCACAATCACCTGTTTAGCTGTAGTATCTTCTAGTAAGGCTATCTCAGGGAAGTAAGAATAATAGTCGAGGATAATTCCAGAGTATTTTTTCTAGCCCCCCGTGTAAACAAATCTATACCTACTTTGTTTCAGGGGACCAATTTTTCCTGGGCTACCAACCTGGGTTCTGTTACTTGACTTGACCTATATTTTTGGCATATGCAACAAATCTTGACAGCTTCCTCAATGTCACTGTTCCTTTGGGGCCAGTATAAAATGTCTCTGGCCCTTCATTTAGATTTTCCAGTCCCTAAATGACCTGCATGTATCCTTTTTAACATTTGTCTGGATTCGCAATCACCATCCTAGAGGCTTTAAACAAAATCCCATGTAGTACTGGGAGTTTCCCCTACATTTATAATAGGGGCTGTCCAGCCATTCTGTTCTAGTGGCCTTGATTACTTGCTGCAGGGTCTCATCCTGAGCAGTAGCTCTGGTAATCACCATCCACAATTTGTCTGAGATCACTTTTGTCACATTTGTCAAATTCTGTAGACAGTGTGCCTGCAAACACCAAATCTCTCCGAGGTTTGTATTCAATTTGCAAATCATACATGTGAAATTGAAACAACAATCTTTGTATTTTCAAGGGGTGTTTGCTAGCCCCTTTTGGCAATGGCAATAAGTGTAATATATATGGTCAGTTTTAGCTAACACAGGCCTTCCATAAATAAAACTTTTTATACCCATAGCCTAATGCCAAATCTTCCTTCTCTATTTGAATATATTGATACTGAGCTTTTGTTAGCACCCATGATGCATAGGCCACAGCAGTGTTCTCGCTCATTTTTTACATCCATGTGCGACGTGGATTTTGTTATATTCAACAATATGGAGGTGATGTGGGGGGGGAGGCCGAGGGGTTTGGGGTATGGGAGGGGGCTCAGAGCTGGGGCAGAGGATTGGGGTGCAGGTGGTGAGGGCTCGGGCTGGGGTTGTGGGCTCTGGGGTGGGGCCCCAGGGATGAGGGGTTTGGGATGCAGACTGCCCCAGGGCTACAGCAGGGAGAGAGGACTCCCCCAGCTCTCTCTCCCTGCAGCAGGACCTGGGCTGGAGGGGAGGGGTGCCTCTCCCCACTGCGGCAACTCCAGAGCTAGGGCTGCGGAATAGGCACCTCTCCCATGGCCATGGCAGGTCCGGGCCGGGGCCGGGTTGGGGCTGGGAGGGGTGTGTCTCCCCTGGGCATGGCAGGTCTGGGACTGGACTGGTTTGGGTCCGGGGCTGGGGGAGAGGAATCTCTCCTTGCTGCAGCCCTGAGCACCTGAGCAGCGCTTAATAGGCTGCTGCGCAGTTGCATGGCCGCACAGCTTAGAGGGAATTTAGGCCACGGGTCTCCAGTTTTGACCAAACTGTTATAAGAAGACAAGGCCAATACACTACTTGGAGGCATCTGTGGATAGCTTTAATTTTGTGCTTACTGCCATAGTACCTCAGGACTAGGGCTGCTTTAATTAACACCTTTACTTTCTTTATTAAGATTTGCATTCCATGTCCACTAGATATCTTTGAGCCGCTCTCTCAGGTTGCTGGTTCAGGCAGCTAGATTAGTCACAAAGTTCCATATATTGTTCACCATTCCAAGGAATATTCATACCCATTCCTTGTCTGTCGGGGTAGGCATGTTGTTGAGGGCTTCAACTGTGCTGTGATCTTCCTGTACACCTTGCCCTACTAACATCTTTCCCAAGTATGTCATTTCTATTACACCAGATTTACATTTTTGTTTATTTAGCTTTAGCCCAGCATCTCAAAAGCTGCTCAGAGGCTCTGGTTGTGCTCTTTTACTGTTTTTCCCCAGAACAAAATGTTATCTAGGTAACCCACAGTATCCTCTAAACCAACAAAATTTTGTTGTATTTTCCAGTGACACACCTCCGATGACCAACACAACCCAAATGGCAGTCTGCAGAAACACTGTCTCCCAAAAGGGGTGCTGCACAAACATGTCCTTAGTTTTTCTAAGGGCATCTTCCAGAACCCTGCTGATGCATCAAAGGTAGAAAGATATTTGGTGTTAGTAATCTTCCCCCACAATTTCTCCCCTACTAGGTAGTGGTAAATGTTCCCTTTTAACATACTTAATGTTTTGGGGTCTATACATAAGTGAAAGGTTCTATCTTTTTTTTTCCTTTGTAGTGGTCAATGAATGCTCTTAGTTCTTCTACTCACTCTGTGGTTCCCAGAGCAATGAGCCTACCCAGCTCCTCTTTTAACCTCTACCTTATGGCAAGGGAAACTTTGTTAGAGACCTGAATCATGGGATGGTTGGGCTCTTTCAGCTTTATTCTACACAAATACTCTCAGAACTTCCCTATGCCCTGGAAGACTTCCTCAGACTCTTCAATTGTTTTGGTCCCCTGCCCATCCGACGTGTGCACCTTCTTGATGAGACCAAGGGCCTGAAATGTTTAAAACACAATAACAGGTGTTCTTATGCCTGGTACTATTACAAATTGTATCTTTTCTAATTTGTTATTTACTCATATACTGTACTCCCTTAGTGGGAGCTCACCGCCTTAAGCCCTCAGTTTTACCTATTTACCTTCTATTGCCTATGGCTTTTCTTTCAGTGGTAATATCACTGTTTCTGGCACCACATTGCTTGTGCACCTGTGTCCAACTTAAAATAAATAATTGTCTTACTGCTTTCAGCAAGATAGTCCATTCGTCTTGTGCTGCAACATTGTCCATTGCTCCTATGAGGAATTCCTTTGAGCTAGCGGTGCTGTTGTCATGCTCTTTATCCATGTTGTGCACACTCTGCTTGTGTGCATAAAGTGATGTTATCATCCATTGCAATTCTTTCATCTTTTTCCATATGCTGAGCATTTAGGGTGACCAGATGTCCCGATTTTATAGGGACAGTCCCGATTTTGGAGGCTTTTTCTTATATAGGTACCTTATACCTCCCGCCCCCATCCCGATTTTTCACACTTGCTATCTGGTCATCCTATGAGCATTAGCTTAGGTTGTTTGCCACAGTATACACAGTTCAATGTCCTGTTTTTGGTGGACAATGACTTTGAGTTCTGCATGCCTTTCTGCCTCGGGTTTCTTTTCTTATTGCATTTTGGATTCTTTATTATGTCCACAGTGTCAGAGCACAATCCACCCTCCATAAACTTCACTCTGGACTGGGTAGCGTTGTTTGCTTAGCAAATTCTAATTGCTTTGTAAAAGGTTAATTCTGCTCTTCCAGTAATCTCTCTCTGAGTTTTTTGTCCCATATCCTAATCACAATCTTGTCTTTTATTAGGAACATTCAGTTAGCCCCTCCAAATTGCAAGATGGTCTCTTTAGTCTTAGATCAGTCACAAACTCTTCTATTGTTTCACCTTTTTTTTTGTACTCAGTTTAAAAATATCTATCTCATGATTCTTTTTCAAGTGGAGTACAATACTCAAATTTATTTTATACAGTTTCATAGTTAGCCTCATCAGTCTGACTTAACTAAAAACTGTTAAACATATTAAGTGTTTCAGGACCAGCTATTGTCAGAAATAAGGCTACCTTCTGATTGTTTTTCCTTTTTGCTGGCACCAAGTGCTTTCAGATACAAAGGGAAGCACTTTTTAAACCTCAAGTTGTTTCCACTTTTCCAGGGAGTTTCAGCTCTAATGAGGCTTTATCTGCTCCATTCTTCCAAGCAGGATATTTTCTTAGTTTATTTTACTCTTGGTTCCATGTGGTGTTAAGTAATCATTCAGAGTCAAGGAGTCTAACATAGATAGGTCTTCTATCAGTGTCTCAGTTGTAACTCACTGGCATTGCATAACGTGAGCTTCTGCATAATATGACAACCAGTTCCAACTAGTTATTGCCAAAGCTTCTTAAAGGCACAGTTCCCCACACTGTCCAGGCTGTAATTCCTTTGTGGGTAAACAGAGGACTTCAATCTTTAAAGCTGTTAATTCAGCACTTTTCACGAACACTAAATTAACTTCTTTAAATGACAGAGCTCATAACCCTTCCCACTACTGTTCCACTTTCCCAGGCTGCTATTGTGATCACCTTAAGCCATCTTGGACCAAACCATTCTTCATATGACCCTATCACCTTCAGCTGTGTTACCTGGGTGTAATTGAGAGGAAATTTTCACCTAAAGTACTTCTCATCTTTCCCTATGCTTTGTAACTCTAAGGCTATCAATCCCACTCTGACCTGATTTTATTGAAATGAGCCATTGCAATTTATGAGAATTAAAAGTACCAAAAACATGAAAACTAAAGTAATAGAAGATGCAGGAACTAAAGGTATGTCTACAGTTGGAGCTGGAAAGTCTAAATTCCAGCTCGAGGAGACTTATCCACACCAGCTCTGATTGAGCTGCAGCACTAAAAACAGAGTGTAGCTGCCATGACACAACCAGTGGGAGGGGTTAGTCACCCGGAGCACATACCCATTCAAGGCACTAGGCATGCAGTTGAGGCAGCTAGCCCCTCCCAGTGCTCATGCTGCTGCGATACACTAGTTTTAGCTCACTAGCTCAGTCACAGCTTGTGCGGGTATGTTTCCTCAAGCTGGGAATTACATCCCCAGCTCAAAGTGTAGACATACCCTCAAATATGTGTGTTCATTTCAAGTGTGTAGCTGGGAATTTTTGTGGGATTCTTCACTTTAGTCATTTTTCTTACATTGAGCCTGTAGGTCAAAGTACTTTCTTTTGAAACAACATAGAATTTTAGAAATGTATTAGTCATTTTAAAAGAAATTGTGTTCATTCTCCTGGAGCAGATCACAAATGCTAGTTAGTCATTATGATTATTGATGAGATGTTTGTCCTACTGCACTTTATCCTGTGTTATTTTTTTAAAATAAAATAACAATTTATTCATATTTTTCTCTACCACTAAGACATCATTCTCAATTTTATGGTTGGCCTTCTCATTACTGGTTTGCTTTTAACTAAGTCACCAACAAATGCACAGGTATCTGTGCCCCCAGTCCATGCTGCGAACATTTGGTTGCGGAAAGGAGGAGTGTCACCTTTGCAACATATTCCCTCCCTTAGACGATGGGCTATCTGTGAGATTCTGACTTCCAGGGCTGTGAGGGGATAGGTGGAGGAGATCTCCTTCAGATTTTCACCCTCAGCTCCACAGGGGAAGCTGGCACAAGTTGATGCAAACAGTGTAATAAAAGGATAATAAAATAAGTTTACTTTCATGAAGAACTTCAGTTGATGTTATTTTTATCTTTGTTAAACATGAAATATTAAAAACAAATATACCAGGTGATTCTGGCATGTGAGATTCAGATGCTCAGCAGTAAAAGAGTCAGAAGATGGAAATAAAATGGGCCACAACTTTGGCATCACTATGGTCCTGATTCAGGACCATACTTAATCAAGTGGTTAATTTTAAGAGTGAAAGGAAGTCATTGGGATTCTTTGTGGATGCAGCAATCTGCCTGCACACTTCTCTTTGTAGGAACAATGCATTAAACTGTAAGCTTGATGGGATAGGGATCCTGTCTTCCTTTAGATTTGTACAGTGATACCTATAATAAATAATTCATAATAATAATTCAAAATGTCACAAATGAATAGCAGTTTGTGTTAATTTAAACAGTATTTAAGAACAAAGTAAAGGTCTAAGACTTAAGACAAACTTTTCATTAGTTCCTAATTTTAAAATGGCCTATGAATAGTTCCATTATTACTTCCAACATAAAAATACCACTAAATATTTTTATCATTAGATGAGTAAAATGATTAAATATTAACTGATTTGTGATCCCAGAAACAAAATATGAGACGATCTGACAACAGCTGAATCACTGAATTCACTGCAAGGCTTCAGAAAAAGCCCTGAGTTTTATTTCAATACTCAGTTGCCTCTGTGTTTCAGAAAAGGATATCAAAATAGAGGAGATAATCCATGGAGATTTGGAGGCTGGTAAGCAGCCAGCTCTAGCACTTACACAACTGGGTATAAATAAACGAACAATATCAGCAGTCAGTAGCTAGCCAGCCCATGGTGATGCTACACAACTAGAGTACAGAAGCATGATATAGAGAAGAATAAAAAATCCGAGAAGCTGTCAGGCTAATCCGTCGACTTGCTCTTTTCTGTATCTCTCAACATCTTTTTGACAGTTTCCTTAATCATGAATGCACAGATAGTGAGATGTAGGAAAGGGTGCATCCCATTCCTCTACTGGTATATCACTGACCTGCTCACACAGAGCAGTTTTCTTTACCAGATGGCCTATTGGAGCTGCTCTTTTACCTTCTCAAAGGTATGTGTTTAGGAAGCTGAAAGTCCTGAGTTCAAATCCAGGTCATTAACTTTGAGGCATTGTGTCAAATCCTCAGCTGATATAAATTGCCATAGCTCCACTGAAGTCATTTTAAGTCAATAGAGCTATGCTCATTTATACCATCTGAAGATCTGGGCCAATACATGCACACACATGAAAAATCAATTGTGGGGGGAGGACCCCCCACAAAATGTAACATCTGTCTACCAGTATTCTCCCAATTGTGGATCATATTCTGTATTTTGAAGTATCATTATACTTTTCTGAATCATGCTAGGCAATATATCATGTCACTAATAATATCGATATAGGATATTTTCTATCGTCTGGAAAACATCTTAACAATTTTTGATCTTGTTGTCTTTACAACCATACTCCTCTGAGTGTGTTACCTTGTGCAGTGCCTCAGCCCTAATGCTCATCTGCGCAGCTCTTTACTTAACCTCAGCTTAATGTATCAATGTCATGCTTGTCTGATCTGAAAGTTGCATTTAAATTAATCTGGATTAAAAAATTGCAAAAATGCATATCTCTGATAACTGTTCAAGTGTGTCACTAAATACAAATAGTTATTGGGCAAGTTCCTACTGTACAGGAATTTGTGTCACAAGACCATCTATGCAGCACTAATTTTGAGTCAGAGTGCTGCACTTCCCACATGCTGAATGGGAGGAGGAGGAGAAGAAGAAATAAAAAAGGGAATCCTTCGGATGCATTACCGATGGGTGTTTCCAACAGATTGGGTTTAAGGTGGATTGACAGAATGTCTCAAGCTATTGTTGTCATATTCTTCACGTGTTTTGGAATGGATGACGAAGTTAGATTTTATCCTGGGAGCAGGACTAACCAGCATTCTGCTTCTTACCACTGTCATCCATCAGCTTGATGTGTGCTTATTAAAAAAAAAAAAGTCAAAAGACTAAATACATGGCAATTCTTTTCAGACTGCAGCCAGCTGCTCAGTGTGGCAGTATGTATGTGTGTGGGAGAGGGTGATTTTGAGGGGGTGGGAAGAACAGGTTACACTATTTCCCTTTAACACATCTGCATTGTAAACAGAACCTGGTTCTGCATACTAATTCCAGCAGTCAGCCAATGTCAACACTGATATTTTCAATCTCTTTCTTTTATGTCACATTAGTGAAAAGTGACCTGTTGTGTTTGTGGAAGCTCTGGAATCCCACAGGAGAAGGATCACTCAACACCATGGCAATCTGCCAAGTACAACTTGTTTTGAAACACAGTGGCTCTGAGAAGATGCATTATCATCTGAAACACAATGTCATCATAGTGGGAGGTAGGATACTGTTGATTATCTGAGTTGTTACTGAACAGCAGACCATCCAGAGGACAGCTCTTCCTCTTTTCCTCTTCTTTCTCACTTGCATCTCATACTCTGCTCTGGGACAGCCACCACAAATTTCAAGCCTAGCACCTGTTTCTGAATGGTGCCAAGCTCCCTCAATTTCTGTTGTTCCATGGGAATTGAGGGCACTCAGCATCTCAAAAATGCAGTCAGCACCTTAAACTGCTAAGTTGCTCAACAGTCACATTTTGTGTTCCAATGTCCTATTGATGTGGGCCCAGAAATGAAAATGTAAATAGTCCTCATCACATTTTTAATGTTGTTTCTATTGTTTGTCCTTTTTCTACTGTCTGTGCTGGGAAGGCCAGAAACTGATACCATCTGGTACCCCACATATAATTCTGATAGTAAACCAGTCACATTAACCAGTTAAAAAAGTAAAAGTGGCTAGGGTAATAGGACAAGAAACCAGCCTCTAGGTTTATGGTATAATATTATATTCTGGTAAGGCTTTTGCTACATAATAAACAGGAAACAATTAAGTCTTATGTTTCTCTTGATAATTATGGATGGATACCATCCTTAAAATTTGAATCTAGATCCATACTTCAAACCCCCAAAGTTGGAGACAGGGCAGCATTTGGTCCATGGTTTAGTCCTGCCCATTATAGAGATAGGGACTAACTACTAAATTCAGATCCAGGCTTAAATATCAACATTCCCTCACAAAGCTCAGGGGGTTTCTCATCTGAGGCCTGGGTTTGGACCATCTCTAGTGGCAATTTTATGATTTAATGTATTTGCATGGATTATCAAAGGTCTGGTGATGTGGAAACTAGACTTTCCCTTCAAGAGCTTTTTTCCAACCCCTTCAAGGTTTTATTTTTAAACCTTTTAAACTTTCATTTCAATTATCTGCCAGGACAACAAGGTTAGTTCTACAGAGAGGAAGGCTATAGTAGGAAGGTGATTGTGTAAACAAGACACCTTGTTTGCTCCCTGTGGGTCTTCAAGTCGTATCTAATTACTGTTGTTTTGCTGACACACACAAATATTTTTCTGCTATTAGAGGCAATGCAGAGCTAGTGGAGTTATGAAAGAGCAAGCTGGATTCTGTTCTCATTCATACTTTAGCAATGGGTTAACTACGTTCTGACTGCAGAATCTTTATTAGTGGTGCAACTGATAGGTGAACAGGACACTAGCAATCAGAAATCAGGTTTTGATTTATAAACTGTTTGTAGCTTTTACTAGGGCCTTGACCCTGCTTCTATTTATGTCAATGGTAAAACTCCCATTGATCTCTGTGACCAGGATAGATGCTAACAATGTAGAGGCAGTTTTCTATCTAGAACCTTACTGAAAGGAACCTCTTGCCAATTCATTTATTTTATAATTATATGGTAAAAATTAGAAAGTAAGCAAATTTTCAGTGATAGTGTGCTGTGACACTTTTGTATTTTTATGTCTGATTTTGTAATAAAGTAGTTTTTACGTGAGGTAAAACTTGGGATATGCAAGACAAATCAGACTCCTGAAAGGGGTATAGTAGTCTGGAAAGGTTGAGAGCCACTGGTACAGACCAATGGTTAGCTATAGACTAGAGCTCGGGAACCACTGATATTAAGTTATTAAGAGAGTGGTCTTAAATTTTAAAAAGTACCCATCTACATACAAACAAGGCAATCTCAAGTAGGAGTGAAGAGGTTATTTTTCCTCGACATTTGGCACTGGTGTGACCACTTCTGGAATATTGTATTCAGTTCTGGTACAATTGAAAATGGATGTTGATAAATTAGAGAGGGTTCAAAGAAGAGCCACGTTAATTATTAAAAGATTGGAAAACGTGCTTTATAGTGACAGAAACAAAGAGATCAATCTATTTAGTTTAACAAATAGAAGGTTAAGGGGTGACTTGATTATAGTCCGTAAGTATCTACATGGGGAACAAATATTTAAGAATGGGTTCTTCAATCTAGCAGAGAAAGGTATAATATGATCCAATGGCTGAAAGTTGAATCTAGACAAATTCAAATTGGAAATAAGACATAATTTTTTAACAATGAGAGTAACCACTGGACAGTTTACCAAGGATGTTGGTGGATTCTTTGTCATTGACAATTTTTAAATCGAGATTGGATGTTTTTCTAAAAAATATACTCTAGGAGTTATTTTGGGGTGATTCTATGGCTTGTGTTGTACAGATCAGACTAGATGATCACTGTGGTCCTTGATGAGTACAGTATGGTCAGGAAAGCCAGCTTCACTGGTTGCAGAATGACAAATAAGATTTTTCTGGCCTCAGATTTGTTGGACATCACTTATAGGTCTGATTGAAAGCTCATGGAAGTCCATGATTACATTAAATTAGATTTGGCCTTTAATTCATACTTGTAACAAAAGCCAGGTCACAAGCCAGAGTTTTGTATTAAAAATATCTTTGTATTTTTCATTCTTATGATGTTTCAAGACTAGAAATATTTTAAGCCAGTAACAACAATGAATTGAAGCTGGTAATCTTTAACCAATGTTGGCATTGTGGTCATGCTGCTACTGCATGCAGTGTCTGTATGACATTACACTACTATATGGATTTGACACATTCTCTGCTGGAGAGAGCTTTTGGAAACGAACTTGTCCTGGTAAAAGGAAAACAAGTGTGAGTGCAAAAGAGAAAATTAGGATAATTGTTTTAAAGATCAAGATAATTGCTACATCCTGATCTGAGTTTTAAATATTTACACAACATTGGCATGTACTTTACAAATCCAGGTAATTTTCCCTGTTGGGAACTTATAAAATACTACAAGAGAAACATTATTATATCCTCTTTAAAAAAGGGCCAAGCAGCAGAGCTGCTGCAAGAAAAATAGTCAAAGGCTGCAGAATGACAGAGATAGTTATTTATATTCAGAACATGAAGTACAATAAGAAAGCAAACATACAGTACAGGATGAAATGGTCAAAAAGTTATACTTATATTCCTTTTGACCTATTGTGCAGGTCATAACAGGGCACATCACAGCCTGCAGGGCCAAAGCCTTTGAAGGTTGTTTCATACGGCTCTTTGTAAACAGGTTGATCTTTGATTTTTTCAGTGGGCCTGTGGCTATATATCACTTTTTAAAATCTACAGCAAAGACACTGTATCATCTGAGACTGTAAAGTTTGATCTAAGCGGGGCCTTTAACGATGGTGACCTAATGTGCCCTCCTGAAAATTGAAAGTGGTGAACACCTGTCATAATACTGCTGTCTCTTGTACAGAGGCTTTTCAGGCTAAAATGACTCTGCGCCCAGTCTTGCAGCCTTACTTACATCAGCAATCCTATTGATATAATTTGGACTGCTTGCTTGAGTAAAGCTTGCAGGATCAATAATGAACAAAAGCAAATGAAACTAATAAATTAACTTTATCCAAAGCAAAAAACACTGAGGCTACATCTACACTACAAGCCCTGGATATGATTCCCAGCTCACGTACACATAGTTGCACTCACTTGATGAGAGCTAGCACGAGTATAAATAGTAACGTCGCTGTGGTAGCATGGGCAGAGGCACAGGTTAGCCACGCTGAATATAAACCTACCTGAATCCCCGAGATAGGTACTTAGCATACTTGAGCCGTGCCTCTAGTGCTGCTTTCTGTGCTACCAAAGCTATGCTACTATTTATACTTGCACTAGCTCTCATCAAGTGACAAGTTAGCGCAAGTATGTGTACATGAGCTGGGAACCATACCCCTAGATCGTAGTATGGACATGGCCTGAGGCACCAACTCTGCAATTCCATCACTATGAGCAGACCTTTGTGTCTACTCAAAGTCCCACTGAAGCTATTAGGCTAGCTTGGAACTCATTGCAGGATCAAGGTCTAGGGCACTGTTGTTTCGGAAGATGCCACTCAACATTGGTCACCTCTCAACAAAATCAATGTCAGTTGCATCACAATACATGATTTTCCCAAAGTACTTGCATTAGGCCTGATGTGTGGAAAAGATAGTAGTAGAGTCAGAGACTGCAGTACCGTGAACATCTGTTGATGAAATCATTGGGAGTTTTGCACTGAGTTTAATGGTGTCAGATTTCACCCCATGTTTATAGAGGAGACTACTGTAGGAGCAGGGTTTGCATCTTAATTAGAAGCAACAGTATTATGCTATGAGTTTTATCTATCTGTAAAGGTGTGGGCATCCCCTGAGCACACACTTGCTGCCTGTGTGGCTCTGCAGGTGTGTCCCACCTTAATTTCCCAAGGGAGGGCAGCAATCAATTCACTTTAACTGCACAGTGCAAGAAGAAGCCAACGTATTTTTAACAAAATACCATGCCCTCTTTTAATCAGGTTTCTAGGACAGGAATCATAACTAGGCTTGGAAGGATTAGATTTAGATCAGTAAACCTTGATTTCACTGTGCATACATAAACCAATGAAAAAATATTTCCATCGGTGATCATCAAAATTTACAGATAGGGAAAATAAGAAAAAATGCTACTTGAGAACTTATTAGCATGTGATTTAAGGATATTTACTTTGTATATTGTGACATATGATGTTGACAATTTGTGTTATAACAGTTCTAAAGCTTTAACTTTTTGAATCTCAGCATGTCCTGACATTAAATTATTACTGTCTGCTCCAATAACTGCCCCACAACTGTGAAAATTCCAATCAATAAAAATAAAGAAGTACTTTAAAATAAACATTAATATTATCCATCAAAATTATTAAATAATAAAAATCAGATTTTGCCACGCCTACTTGTAACAAACAATTCATCAGGACCCTGGGAGCCCTAGGCTTGGGGCTTCCAGATTTTCAGCCCACACCCAAGTCTCTGAATCAATTTAGTCTTGTTTACACAAGACTGCCTACATGCATGCCTCTTCTCCTCTTCTCTCCCTCTCTGCTTTCTGTTTCTGTGTATATGGCTCAGCCCGCAGGTGGGACAGGGCCTCCTGGATTTTCCATAGGAGGTAGGCTCCAGCTGGT